TAAAATCAAATTATGTTGACAATCCTGTTGCCATGATTTCCCCTGGTTACATTGAAAAAAGTGCATAGATTTGTTTCTTTCCCTGTGTCTGGGGTCCCTGATCAATTATCAGTATATTGGGAGATATTTGCCAGCAAATCCAATAGGTAATTGCTTTAAGGGGAGATCAATGACTCAAATAATAGTAGGCCTTGCTCTTAAAAACCAGGACTTGTAGTATTTATAGAAGATTCACAATGGTCAATTTTGAAGAAGTTGTCAATCCATAACCAATATACCACTTACTGGGAGCAAAATATCTGGTGGTAGTCTTGTGAGAGAAGGATTATACCTTAAGGACCACCCAACCATTTCAACAAGACATTAAAGCAGATAGAATTGGTAGAAATTCATGCCATTCCATTTGATAATATTGGAAAATAAACTGCATGACTTAATACTCCATATAAATAAATATGCATGGAAATTTCACATTCATTTTTTAATGTACATTCAAATGTACATGTGAAGTGTACAGTTAACGTATTTAGTGTTCAACGGCATCATTATTTTAAATGTACTGGGTATCCAACTTTATACTGCTATATGCTGTAAGATGATGCATTAAATTGATACAGCTGAGAATTGAAAACCATTAAGTTTCCTGGCCTCATCAAGATAAAATATTGACAAACTCTTTGACCCCACAAGATAAAAGTTGGAAAACTCTGAAATGCTTTTTGATGTTTTAGAAACATCTGTAATTTTCTATATGATAAAATGTTAAAGGATAAATGCATAAAAACCACCTCATTTTTAACCAAAGTAATGCACTTCAACCAAAAATAAAACATATCTTAAGCAAAGCTAACATGTAATAAAATACTACTCCTATTTCTCTTTCTCCACTCTTAAAAAAAATTAATAAAAAAATAAAATAAAATAAAATAAAAAAAAAAATGCATGTGTACACACACACTTTAAAGTTTCCAATAAAGCGAGAGTGGATTCCCAATAAAGCATATTCCACTAGTTTCTAATATAACTAAAATACAGTTGACATGCCAAGTCATAAACCAAATTTATCCTTCATTCTGCCAAAAAATGGATTTAAAACTGCACCTTCTTCAAATTTTTTGGTAGTAAATTAATTCATCTATTCAAGCGCTATTCATCTGTCCCTCCACAGGCCCATAGCCAGCAATTTTAGAGGGGGGGTTCGTTTTCTGAAAAAGTGGACCTTTTAGTATAAAATCCTCAGGTACATAGATCAAATTGTACCCAGAGTGGACCTTTTCCCAGCAAAAAGGGTGGTTCTTTCAAACCCCCCGAACCCCCCTTGGCTACGGGCCTGCTCCAGTTCATAAAGGTCCGCTAAATGACGTAGTACTGCATGGGCATTGCATAGTCATCACTCTCACTCCCATGATGTATGGATGTATTACTGCGTACACAACTGCATACTTACTCAAAAGAGACTGCTGAGAGATATATAAAGCACAGAAAAAAAGCAGAAAATATCTGTTCAAAAGTCATTTTTTGGAGAATTATGAAATGATGTCCTTTGATTTTTCCACGTTATACTATTTGAAACTGTATGGTAGTGTTTGGTCAGATTTTGGGGCAAAAATTTGACTTTAAATGCATCTTCAAACAAGATAAAACATCATCAGGCTTCAGCATCCTCACCAGATTAAACATTACAGAAACCACAAGACAAAACAGAATAAAAGTAATGAACCCTCAAAGAAATGTATCATGAAAGCCTTGTATCTCCCCCACCCCGTAAGATATATGACTGTCAAAAATCCACTGGATAATAATAATAATAATAATAATAATAATAATAATAATAATAATAATAATAAAATCATGAAAATTGGTCTTTCTCTGGAGGGAAGAATTCTCATTCAACCCCAAAGTGATAACCCACTCATTTACTGACCGTTCACCAAGGCAAGCTAAAGTCCCTGGACAAAATCTGCAAATTATTCCCTTCAAGCTTCAAGGTAAAGCCTAACCATACATTTGTAAATATCTATGATAGATACCTCAAATCTGGGTACAAAAAGGAGATATCTCACATTTCTTTTTCAGAAATTGAAAATTGTACATAAAAACATTTATTTATGCTTGAATAATTTTTTAAGGGCAAATAACTCACACATAGATTTTAGAAAACAAAGGTCTAAATATCTTTTTGAAAACTGGGCTACCACAACAATTGTTTAAGGTTCATTAACCAAAATCAAATCTTAGCAAAAGAAGCTGATACTCTAAATTTCATATGCCTTACCTCATGAATCTTCCGATGACGTCAATTTAATCTGTTACATTCATTTTTCTTTTTAAATGATGAAATTTAGCTAACATTCCAAATCCTTAATCACTATCTTCTGATCAGGCACAGCATAATTCTTTTTAATCAATAATTTTGTTACCTCCACACAGCAGTTAATATCTGATGTTCTTGGGTTTGGTAACAATTTTACTTATAATAACATATACTGGGGTAGCGTTAGCAATTTTTTTCACTTAGCCAAATTACCACTTTTTTGTCAATTTGTTATCCAAATGGCTTTAATTTGACTAAAATTAGTCAAATCAAGCCCTTTTTGTTTAGCCAATTTAAGTCAGTTTTAACATTAGGGTAAATTGGCGAGTGTTAGTGCTACCCCAGATATATCATTTTTTTATTCAACAAGTTATAGTAATCATTTGAAATTCTTAATCAGAACAGTCTTCTTCAAATCTTATCAGACACACCACAAATCTATTCTAATCGATAATTTTGTTAGCTCCACAGAGCAGTAATATGACGTTCGCAATGTTTTTGACATATCTAACGTAGCCCAGCTATATATTGATCTTTATTTAAGCATGCTAAATGATGTGTTGTAAAAAGAGGCATAATGAGAAGGCACCTAGCAGACCATTCAGCTTCTACAAACATTTACATAAACTGACTAATATATATCTTCATTTTACCATTTGCTTAAAATTGCCAAATTTGATATAAGAAATAAAATTGAGAAATCATAATGCTCTTGGCTTTTTCCAATGGTAAGATTAGTGCACAAATAACATATAAATAATTAATAAGGCCATCCTCATATCTAACAAACCCAGCCTGTCTTGAACAACTCCCCACCTAACCTATTGGCACAACTAATGCACTGGTGCACCTAACACACTATAAAACACCTGTATGCATTAAAAAAAAATACACAAGTGCCCTTTCTGCTGTCTACAGAGAAGATTCAACATATGTGCATTTAATACAAGATGCTGCAATGTCCTGACATAGAATTCATACACATGCCTGTTGAGCATTAATCTTTTTGTAAATCTAACCATATGTCCAAACCTCTAGAGGCTATTGCAGAGCCTTATTTAGCATTGCTTAATTTATATCATTTTCATTTTTATAATGGTTTCTTATTTAAGTATTACCTTGTGCAAGGAGGATTTTATTATTTCCAAGAACAGCAGTGTTTAAAATGTGTGTGTTACATAAAATGCCAAATATGACTGTTAATTATCAATAATCAGAAGGACAAGAATCAAGCTTTACAAAATTGGTAGAAAGGACACAGGATGAATTACTGTTACAAAATAATCGAACTGCTTTTGATTACATCCTTAATATTTTAGCTAAATGATCAATGCAAGCTTCACCTTATTACTTCATTCATATTGATATATTCAACATTTTCTGGATCATTAAAAAGTTCTTTTCTCATTATGAAAGTTGATACAGAAGGGGTGGTTACATATGTAGTTTAGTTTAAAGGTATCCCATACTGTACATGATTTTTTTTGACCAAATTAAATTTTCCTGAGGGAAAGAAAGAAAAGATACAAAAAGTAATGTTCTACTACTCGTGAATCACTGATTGACCCCTTTTGCTATTTTTTACCATTTTAATACATCAATTTAGTTGTTAATGACATTTTAATACAATAATTTAGTTGTTAATCACTTAGACAGCCATGTCTTCCTGTACATTTTAGAAGGGCATAACTACATCAGGTACTTTTATTTGAAGGGTTCTATTGTTTTTAACATTTGAATTATTATGAAAGACAAGTTAGTCTGCAGAATGCGTAGACAGTTTGTTATATAAAGATTTAATACCTATATTGTGTGCTTTTCAAGCATTGTCAGGTATCAAATTAATTTTTTCTACCCCCAATAAATTGTTCAGCAAACTTTTATATCAATAAAATTGAATAATGAAAATCGATCAATCAAAGAAAAGTGTAATGTTGTAGCAAAATATGAGGGGTGTCACACGAATGATGTCAATGTTAAACATGCCAAATATATGCACTATTGCACTGAATTGTAGCAATTTGGGAGGAAAAAACACCAAGCTCGACCGGGATTTCAACCTGGGACTCTCGCAAACTGTGCGACTGCTCTTACCAACTGAGCTACCGAACCCAGGCAAAACGTGACTGCTCTTACCAATTGAGCTATTGAGCCCAGCCCAACCCCACTATACAGAATTAAACAGACAATAAATTCATATCTTCTAGGTTGTATCTCTCAAATTTGACTTTTGAACTTCAAATAATTATTAGCCTGTGCATTTTGAAAAAAATTGAAGGGACTTTCATTTTATTTGACAGTTATCAGTAGAATACACCTGGGATATGTACCTACTGTACATATGGCAATGGATACTGTGAAATATTTTACTTTTCAGCATTATCCATGTCATGTGCTCCACGAGAAAGTGTTCTGACAGCATGTATTTGCTATAGGAATAAAAGGAAACAACAAAACCATGTAACGTGGCGTATTAAAACAGGTGTCTTTTGGATTTGTTATTCTATTGCAATGAAAGTTTGGCATCTGTCACTTGTCAGATGACATCCCGGCCGGCAAAACTAATAGCACTCCACCCGTGCACTTGAAAGCAATGTCACGCCATTTCCAGACAAATGGAACAATTAAAAGCATCCTTTATGCTATCGATGTACTAATTTCTCTTCTTACAGGCTTACATACTTACTTTAAGGCGAAAACCCGGAGAAGATCACTTTCTCAAGGGCGCCGCCATACCAATCCCACAATTCTCTTCCTCTTGGGGGCCTTTAATTGGGACATGCGCATCGCGGTCCAATTAATTTTGAATAATTAATTAGCACAATAAAACACTTCTCATTCATGTTATTTTTAGCCGAGGCATTAAGTCGCTGTCTGAGAGCTTGCTCTAAGCTGTCGAAGGCGAGTTTAGCTGTGGACAAGCATCCACGACGAGAAATTTCCAGCGGGAAGTGCAAATACACTGCGTAAGTCAGGCCTAACGAGTGTAATGAACTTTTCGCTCTGGTATTTTCCTTGTTGATCTTTCATTGGCAGTGCACGCCGTAATTACCAAAGCCGTGTAATAATTAGTCGCCATGTTTGGCAACTGCTCCAGGAGTCAGCAGACGTAGCAGTAAGTATTTTATGGCATATTTAGAGGTAGACGTAGTGACAGGGTAGTACTCTACTAGATATCGAGAGTATTGATTGATTGTTGAATGGTGCCCTGGTTTAGCGCGGAGTTAGGAACTCGTGGGTGACCCAGCGCGCCGGGAGAAGCGCCGCGTCAGGTTGCAACCCGATCGTGGGCGCCCATCATATGAGGATCTCGCGGTCTTTGTTGACCGCTTAACACCGGTCGCGCCGGGGGGACTCGTACGCTCCGCGCGACCGTCGTTGTACTCCCGTGTAAACTGCGGTAGAGCCCTGTCATCAGTGGTGACACGTTATATTTGTTGAATGTGACATAGAAATCGATGAGAGACTTTCCTCAGACAGTTTGTCTCTGTCGGTCCCCAGTGACATGCTGGGGGTTCCCTCAGAGACAGTAGTTTGTAATACCAAACGCAGATAACTTTGGCTCTGGTGCAGTTCAAGAGAGGTTTTTGGTTTCCGGGATATTTTTAGTATAAATTCACATGTTGATTTTATAGTTTGACCTTTGTTTTAATTGCTGCTTTAACCATCCCTAGCTTTTGATGTTTTCATTATTGTTTATTTATTATTATTAACTTGTAATGGTGGGAATGATAATCATTATTATTTTTTTGTCATAACCATAGGGATTTTGAACTTTTCCCCCCATGCCAATTCTTGTAAAATGAATTGATTATTTTAATTCACATATAAGCATAATGTTAAGACATGCATCTACACATAACTCATATTAAATCCAATACAGTCACCAAAAGGTCAGGCAATTAGAAGGTTTCATCTAGCCACATAGTCAATGTAAGAAGTCAAATTTAGGTAGGATCATGTTGAAAAAAAATTGGAAAAAAAAGAGGCCGTTCTGGTTTTTTATGGTCTCATATTTTGTTCCATTATCTCCCTTTGTCCCAAGTGTCAGTGTATCCCCTAATGTACCCAAGGCCTCCCATGTATCGGAATTCCATGTCCAGTAGCCAAGCAGTCTGGCCAGCCGTCCGGCGGTCAATGTGTCCAGTGGAAAGCAGTATAATGATTGGGATATTTGTCTTCATTAATAATTTACATTAGTTCGTCTGTGACCACAGCATGTACAATATCTCTGTATTGATCTTAACACCAGATACTTATTGCTTATCCTGCAGCTAAATTGATGAGGTCTTTTTTACTGATCTATGGCAAGTACATTAGCATTTCTAGGAGCCAAGGATGGATAATTGTACCCTTGCTGAAAATCAACCAAAAGCTTTATCTTCATAAAAGAAAACTGCACATTGTACTATGTGTTGTATGGTTGAGGTTTTTACTTTAAAAATATAGCTTTATTTTATTGTGAATTTCAAACCAGTCACATTTTTTATCAGTCATCATATTATAAATGATTTTAATTTACTGTCTTGAATAATAATGAAATGCCTTCATTCTGAATTAAGCAAATAAAGTAGCAAGGATTAGTTTTTCTTTGATCCCACATGAAGGTATAGAAAAATATTCTTAATTTTCTTTGACCTTGTTTACAATCTTAAATGATTTACACCATCATGCAAGGAGGTAAAATATAGCCATTATACCTATCTAAATGCTAAAAAATAATGATGAGGTCACAAATATAACTCCTAGATTTTTTTGGCCTCCATTTGTTATTGTTTATTGTCTTTAAAGTACATGAATGATTAATTTTTGTAGGGGATGTACTTAAAAGAAATGTATATTATTTCATATTCAAGGCATCTTTCAAAGCTTGTTGACTTTTTAAATGAATTTTATCCAAGTTACCATTACCTGAATATAACATGGAGAAGATACCTCTTATAAAATGTAAATATTTTGTAGTTTTTCATAAAATCTGATTGTTTAAGGGCCTTATTGCTCATCTTCCACTTACGTACATAGGTCAGTATGTATATGACAGAATGTAGAGTTTTCATATTATTTTAATGAAGAATTAATAATGAAGTATTTGTTTGGCTGTCACCTGCAAGGCATATTCTGTATTCATCCGTGTGTCTGTTCGTCTTTCCCCTGTCTCTGTCTATCATTTATTTCTCATTTGTTTAAGATGAGGTAATTTATTGAAATATTCTTATTAATATAGTCTAGAGGTAGCCGACATTCGACTTTGTGTATGGGATTAATTTGTACAGTTTCATGTATGTTAGATTTATACAAAGGATAATATTACCAATTGTGGTAATATGACATGAGAGTATTGACATCGTATAACCAAATGCTTTATACAGAGTTACCTATATTTAAGTTTTCAGAATGTTTAGATCCCTGGTTTGACAGGTCATTAACAAAAGAAAGGGAAAAAACAGTTAAAAATAACAACTTTCAAAATCAAAAGAAGAGTTAAATTTGCTTAAGTGGACAGAGTTTGTAACGCAGCTTAAAGGATAGAAAAATCAGTTTAGCTGAATATAAAAGGATAACAGAATCAATCCAGGTAAAATGTATTTGGTTTTCGATTCCTGTTTGAGAACAGTTGGTGTGTTTGCTCAAAAGTGATACAATTATCAGCCTACAGTTGCATCACACAATACAGAGATAATGAAGGAAATGACAGCGCGACCCCGTACATGACTTCATCGTATGGTTCTTGTAATTTCTCAATATTGCATGTATGAATATTTAACTTCACATGAGCCCAATTATCTTTTCGTCATTAATTCTATATTGGAGAACAGTTTCCAACCCAATGCCTGAAATGTAGGTCTCATTAAGTCACTGTTGCTTTTTTGCCTTTCAATTGCCAGCAAAACAAAAGGCGTATGTTGGACCATGAAAAAATTGATCTCTCTTGCAACTAGGTGCTGGTGTTGACAATGAAAACTAATTATGGTGGACTGACAGACATGGATTTTCACAAGATTATAGCATTGACGATAAAATAATGAAGCTGGGTCTCGTTAGGAAAGACAAAAGAGGAGCTGCTACAGTTGTCAATAATTAACGTGCTTGTATTCCAATTGTATTTTTATAGGGAATTGAGCCAGTAGCCTCCCAAGCTCCAGCCGCCCAACTCAGAGTGCTGCCCATACCCTTGGTAATAGAGGCAGAAAAAATCAACCCAATCAACCACGGGTCTTCCTTCGATTTCAAGTAAGCATTTGTGTCATGTTCTCATTAATATGGACATTGTCTTTGAAATTAATATCGATTCTGCTGTTGGTTGATGAACTTTATTCCCCTACAATCAATGTTTTGAGGTTTTGATTTGCATGGTTATTATACTGTTTTATGTCTGATGTTAGAACTCCAGGGGATGGCACTGGCAATAGGAGATTGAGGGGTTAACAGGTGGGGTGAGAGGGTGGGGGGATTCCAGGAGAGGGAACCAGCTGTGGGATAAAGTGGGATGAGAGGGTGGGGGATTCCAGGGGAGGGAACCAGCTGTGAGATAAAGTGGAATGAGAGGGTAGGGCATTCCAGGGGAAGGAACCAGCTGTGGGATAAAGTGGGATGAGAGGGTGGGAGATTCCAGGGGAGGGAACCAGCTGTGGGATAAAGTGGGATGAGAGGGTGGGGGATTCCAGGGGAGGGAACCAGCTGTGGGATAAAGTGGGATGAGAGGGTGGGGGATTCCAGGGGAGGGAACCAGCTGTGGGATAAAGTGGGATGAGAGGGTGGGGGATTCCAGGGGAGGGAACCAGCTGTGGGATAAAGTGGGATGAGAGGGTGGGAGAATCCAGGGGAGGGAACCAGCTGTGAGATAAAGTGGAATGAGAGGGTAGGGCATTCCAGGAGAGGGAACCAGCTGTGGGATTAAGTGAGATTAGAGGGCATGGATTTTTGGGGGTTGGCACTGACTTTGGAATAAGGTGGGATGAAAGGGTGGGGAATACCAGGTGTGGCACTGGCTGTGGAATAAAGAGGTGGGTTAAGAGGGGGAGGGGTTTAGGGAAAAAACATCTTTGGGAAACTAAACAAATTGAGCTGGGTGTTGAGCAAGAGAGATGTTTTTTGTGGATAACATATAAAGTTGTGATTTTGACTTACCAGATTTACTTAGTTACTTGGCTACAGTTCACAAATAGAATTTTGGCATAAGATTGTGTGGGGTGAGTGGGTAGTTGGGAGGTTAAATTGTCATGAATGGATCCCTTGGAGATAAGTTTGGTATACATGAAAATAAAAGATGAGGGTTCAGTATGCATGACTAGGATGGGTTGTTTGATTGGAGGCTTGATTCATAAGTTCTGGGTGGTATAGTGTTTATTTGGTACTGAGTTGATTAGAAATTTAATACAGAAATGTTTGTGACTTTAAGTATATTTTGTTATGTCATTGTTAGTTTTTACTTGTACATTGTGTATCAATTTTTTTCTGGAACAAATTCTGACTGCGGAAAGCTTAAAAACTTAGTTGCTTTACTATTTTATGAGAGAATCAGATGTGAAACAAGCACTCATTTCAGTTAAAAATTGGCCACATTTTTCCAAGAGTTGGAAAAAAGTTTTAGTTGTGGCCCATCCAAACCTCTGTTTGCAAATATAAATGTTAATGGTGCACATATTTAATTGAAACACTGAGGTTTTTTAGTTGATTTTTATTGTTCCTTAAGAACTAATTCTGTAGATTGATTTTTTTTCTATTTTTTTTTTCTTTGATGAAGCGATAAGTTCAATTAGCAGCATAGCAGCTGTAGCCATGATTTATCATTCATAAAGAATACATCTACTTACCAAGTGCCCCCCCCCCTGGGGTGATGCCAGGGACACCCAAGTCATGGAGTGTAATCTAAGTTCATAGAATCATTAAAGTGAACATAAAGCAGATCAGGCCATTTTTCCATTCCATACAAGGTTGTTGGAAGATAAGGGAGTGGTGCACACAAAACGGTTATTTTCAGGCATAAATTTTCAACTAATGATCAATATTTGTGTCTATAAAAAAGTAAATTACAACCTCGGGCTTGTTCTGGAAGTGGGAAGCTGGCAGGAGGGGCGCATTCCTTCTGTGACACTGCGGCGTGACCTCGTGACATGACTCCATGACATGATGTGGCATGTATGGCCTCTGGTCATGAAAAACATGGAACAAATTGATGTCATGGGTTGTGTTGTCATGAAACTTCTGGCTCATGTTTGTTTTAAGGGACAGTTTGTTGTATAATTTCCCCTTCTCTCTCTCTTTCTCTCTCTCATGTGACAGCATCTCAAAAACGTGCAACATTTTGTTTTAGATTATTGAATTGCTACAAATTCTCAAAATATTGCATTATTAATTTGATAAGCTAATAAAGAATGTAGGGAATCCTGGTAAAAGTGGAATAAGCCAAGAGAAGAAAGCTATCCTATATAATAGGTACATAAGGTATTTATTGGTTTAAAAGTATAGAGTCTGAAAAATTATTGATGATTGGAGGAAAAAAGGTTATTAGTAACATCTCTTTTTTCGATTGCACCAGCTGTTATGTTAAATATTGCACTGGAATAAGGTTAAAGAAAAAATTGGGATCTTAAAAATGTGATGAAATTATTGTGAACTACCTTTATTATCTTTTACTCAAGAAAACCTTTGGGCAGAGCAAACTTCTTGTGTACATACTAGAGAGAATGTCCTGTTTTGTTTGGTTATGATGATGATGATGATGATTTATTTTGTAATGCAACAAAAGAGCTCTATAGAATGGCTATTAAATTGAGAAAAAGTAGTAGAATGTATATCAGATAAGTTCCAAATAAAGTGTTTTTCTTAGAAATTGCACTTAGATTTAATAAATCATATATATATATATATATATATATATATATATATATATATATATATATATATATATATATATATATATATATATATATATATATATATACTTTCTGGAAAAAGTACAAGAACTTAATGAAATGAATGAAACCTTCTGTTTGGATGCTCTTCAGTGTAACAAGCACTTTCTTCAAATGGATCACAGAAGCAAAGGACTTTCGTTAAATTTTACGAAAGTCAATCCATGAGTAAGTTATAGAATACACCGCCAGTCAGCAATTAAGAATTGTCACCATTATAAAAAGCATTGGTCAAGATAAACTGGGTGTTTGTTTGTTTTCACTGTCTGGCAGGAAAAAAAGAAAAGATAGCTAATTTGAATTTTAAATATAATCTGATAAACAATTCAAAACAATTGTATCTAAATGTTATATGGCAAATTTCATGGTTTTTAATTGTATTTTTATCACAGTTTGCATAGGGTCAAGGCAAATTTTGTGGAACAAGGACACCAGAAAAAAAAATAATAAAAGAAAGAAAAAAGATTTGACCTTTCTTTTTTTTCAGATTAAAAAATGACATGAAGTGACTGAATCTTTAGAAGTTAAGTTGTTAAAAATGCATTTTCTTTAAAATATGTGTACAGGAGTTATGCTTCTACTTCATAAGATGTGCTCTTTTTTGTGTGGCAAGGGGCAAAAAAGCATCTTCTCTTGGGGATTGGTGGTGCGATATGTGAAAAGGGAATCCATGAAATGTCATTATGAATTTTTTTTTCAAATGGAAATTTATGTCTGATGAGCTAAAGAGTTTAAGGCCCATTTTTCAAGACCATTATGATATTGCATAAGTTTAAACATGATAAATGTATGGAAACAGACATTTTTCCCTAACGCAGGCACACAAACACACATTCTTACAGGCATATCCATAGAGGTAAAGCAGAAGACCTCTCATGTGGCAGGTCCAGACGTAATGCGTTATGATCGCAGGCTGACCTGTCTATGAAGGAAGAAACCCCAAGCATCTGAGATCAGCTCAGCGCTACTTCTCCCCATATTGGTGATAATAATCCACTGGCATATTGGCTGCCCTCCTGTTGTGTGTGTTTATCCACTAAGCTGATGAGGAATTATCTCCATAAGGGTCATATCATGCCTCCAAATCCATGAAACCTGGGCCCTTTGGAGTCTTTTGGCCCTGCACATGTGTAAAAAAGTTCAGATTTACTGTAAATTACAGCAGATATGGCACGTCTAATTTAGCCCAGATCATCATATGAATCTCTTAATTTACCTTTTCACCAGTGCCAACAAGTCATCAGCAGGTATAGAACATGTGTTGTTTCTGCTTAATTACCAAATATTCTGGAGTCCATTTTTTTCTGTCAGGTACATCTTCCAGACTTGAGTATGATGGTGTAGGGGGCGTTTATTTGCAAATGATTATAAGAAAGTTTGTGCCTAAAGTTAAAAACTATTTCCATGGTATCCAACTAATTTGGGAGATATGATACACATTAAAAATTATAGCAACTCTTACAAACTTGAGCCTCTACATTCTCAAAAGAAAATGAGGATATGAATGTGTTGTGTTGTGAATTTAAAGTTCTCTTCCAAAACTTCAGTTCACTTTTTCTTTCCTCCTCTCTCAGCGAAGTAAAACAGATGCAATTAAACCTTCTAATGATCCATAAAAGTGAAATGAATACTTGCTCCAAAGTCAAAGTTTCTTTTTCAAAAAATGCTCATAGTTTTATAAGTGTGACAAAACAATGATTATCTGATCAAAGGACTATCTGTTGTTTACCAAAGACACATTCTGAGATAATACAAAGCCAGATTTTCCGAGATTGTTTCTGCCTAGGAAATCATCTGGAGAAGTTTTTATTTGTTACATGCATCTGTTTTCCCTTGTCAGAGCAGAAATTGCAAAGACACTAAACATTGATACCTAATGCTTTCTGGAAAAAAAGTTACATCATTTAAAGGCTTATTTGAATGATTCTTTTTAGGTTGGGATATCTCAGTGTAGTTGATCAAGAGAAGTAATTTTGAAGTCAAAGGGCAAGATTCCTGTGAGGTCAGACAGGTCAAAGGTTATGACCTGTCTCCAGGTAATGGCTGACCTCTGTCCTCGCATACTGCCACAGTCTCACATTCCTCCAGCTGGCTTAATCAGATCTGTTGCATTTATGCAACCTATATTTAGCAAATCATCAATATAGTTTTGCCTCGTGCACGCTGCAAGTCTAATATTTGTTTAATTGACATATTTTGTCTCAGAGGATGTTAGGATGATTTTTACTGGGGAAAATTATCCTCCATCTGCATATAAATTGAAAAATAATCTTTCATTTTGCGTTATTTACTTTCTCTTTCTGAAATGCGCAAATTCCCCAGGGCTGGTCACAAATGGCCGCAGTTCTCGGCAAGAGATTTCGAGCATCGCAATCCCAGGGTGACCTCTGCTGTCCTTTGCAAATGAAACTGCCATTAAGCCGGCAGAATTTTTCACGGAAATTAACAGCGTCTCTTAATGCCTTTCTGGAATTAGCAAATAAGAAATGGCATGGCTTAATTTTGTGAGCCTGTGAAATGGCATCTTAGCTTTTTTGAGCTTGTCATCAATAATCCATTTAGTGTAATTGGTTTATTTTCTTTGCTGACTTTAAAAATGCAAATGGACAGTTGTGCGCTTTCTGCATGCAGTTGGCCATGACTGTCAGCCTCCCAAGATAATTACATCTACATATGAGCCGGAGATGCTGGGCTCTGTTTGCCCAGTCTTTCTGCCTTGATAATTTCAAAAGTTTCATATGCAAAGCTTGTCAATCAATTGACTGATTTAATTACACACGGTATGGGTAATTCCTCTAGCTGCTGAACCAGTCACAGACAGCTCATTAAAAGACTAAGAGACCAAGGCAGCCTTTTAACCGTAGACTTGAGAGGGGGAGCTTTATTGGCAGTGAACCAGCCTTTGGACATTAGGGGCCTGGGACAGGGATTAAAGGAGCTCCTTCATTAAGGTGACACACTTAACATCTGTCTCGTTAAGAGAATGATGGCTACTTACACCAGCATGAAAGACATTGTTCCAGTGTTAACTCGGGGAGTGTGGGAAAATTCCTTCACATCTCAAGAAGAGCGGCTTTGAAATGGATCTTGAGAAAAATTAGAAAATCGTCTCTGAATAGTAGTAGTACGAATTATGTATTTCATCTCCAATTTGGATTAATCTGTCTCCCATGTTTCTGTGTGCTTAATGAGGTGTGAGGCACAACAAAAGGTTAAGTATAGGGGACCTGGGTAAACTAATGGCACTGTCATATGTAAATTTGGCAATTAAGCTTCAGGGCTATTTAACTCTGTTTGCTCAGCAGTAGGGTTAGGATAATAGGCAGGTATTCGTTTTTGAGTATTTTGTTCCTGCCACAGCAGAGTTTGTTCTAAGGTTCAGCTGCTCTGGGGTGGTGAGCTCGTTCACATTTCGTAATGCTTTTTAGCAGATGAGAACGACTTCTGCGTGTTCACGTATCGGTCAATGCAGGATGTGCTGACATTCTATGCATTTGGTCATTTTTTATTATTTTCATTATTGAAATGATTATGTAGTAAAGATCTCTTTCTCTATATATATGTTTTATTTTTGTCAGTTAGGAGACCAGAAAACAAATTTTGAGGGATGCCAGGGTAATTGATATGAAAAAATAATTAAATATATAAATAAACAGCACAGGGAAAAGAGTAATGCTTAAAGAACTTCCATCCGTGTTAAATTTCTTGAACTGAGATGACTTGTGGCATTCTGACATCAGTGTGGCGATTGTTTCATAAATAATTTGTTTTGTAAGAGAGCTCATCTTGACAATTATCAGCCAATTAGCAGGTGGTCTAGCAGCCGTCATGATTCCAGACAGAGTGCTGGTCATGCAAAGCTGTTTGTACATGTCACCTGAGGTTTCATCATAACCAAATATTAGTTACCGCTGTCTTTAACACTATTTATTTTCTTTATTGTTGTTTCACGTTTTCTAAACAAAACACACATTTGTGTGCATGTGTATTTATTTTTTTATTTTTTCATTAGTGTTGCATGGTTACCATTTTGTGAACAAACTTTAAATATTTTTTCTTTTGTTTATTTCCATTATTGCTATAATCTACCTTTTCTTTCTTTCTTTCTTTCTTCTTTTTAAGAGCAAAACTTGTGTTAATTGTAGCCTATCAGTTTGTTAACATAAATATGCATTTGTTTTTAATGTTGACAGATGTTGATGTACATCATAACCATGTTTTAACACGATTTTACATGTTTTACATACAACCCCATTTGTTTCACACGTATCAGTTTTTCTTTCCCAGGGGGGTTATGTATATTAGTATTTATTTCTCGTATATATTTTGTACACACCATGGACACTTATATACCAGACATTTTTGCTCCACCAGTGATGCACACTTGCCACTTTGAAACCATTTTTTTTCGAGATGGAGAAGATTGCATGCTGTAAATATATATTATCTTAGTTCACGCATGCAGCCATTACTGTATTCCCTAGAACATATCCAGTAGTACTATTGCTAGTACGCCTTCTTCATGTGCCCATTACTCTGCCTCTGACATACTTTACATTGATGTCTTGCTTCTCCTGGAATGTCTATAACATATATATATGTGTGAGCTGGGGCCATTGATTAATACAGACACATTAGATTTCTTGCCACTGACCTTATACTTGGAGAGTTCTATCGATCAGGAGGGCGAAGGCTTTTACAGTGAATAGCTGTCTATTTCTCCATCCTCCCCCCCCCCTGGCTGAGCCCCCCTCCCTCCTTGACCAGTCTTGTAGTACACATATACACAATGGATTCAGACAGATATACTATTTTACAATTTCCAAAGACTAGTAACTTCTCAGCTGAGGTGAGTATTTATGAGGAAGGAAAAAAGGGCTTGGAAGGGTAATATATTTCTCTAAACTTACAAGTCCTTGTGGAATTATACTTGAATGGTTCATCAGTTTACATAAGTCTAATCTGTTTTTGAATTATTATAATTTACATCGGTGTTAAATTCCAGAACATTTATCCTCCACCTCTCCTCGCTCATGGCCATATGAAATTTGTTTAACATTTGGAACAATTTTGTGTTGACTGTTTCACTGCAGGGTTGAATGATTGTATCACCATTTATGCCATTACATTCTCCAGCGGCAAGCAAAATTAAAGCCATTTTTTTTTCTTTCTTCAGTGCAGGCAAATCTTTTCCGTTTGACCCAGCATAATTTCTCCTTCACTATCTGCATATGGCACTAGTCATTCCCTCCAACTTAATTTTAGTTAAGTGTTCATTAACTGTTCATTGGGAGCATTTCACTTGATTACATACAGAAGTAATTAGAGTCTGGTCCGTGGAGTTGGCAGGGTCGAGCAAGGTTTCCCCCCATCTCTGACAGGGAATGGAGTGCCAAGGCGGCAGTTAAGATTAATGAGAAGAGGTGCATTGGCATTTTTTGCTGTATTTTCTTTTTCCTTTCAGCTGTTATTCACTCATTATCGTCTTCTTCCCAGTGTAATTAATTTAGCTGCTGTAATTTTTCTGTTGCTCTCAAATGTTTAGGGGAATACAGAGGGGAAAGTGGAAGTGTTGTTTTTGTAAAAAGAGCTAAAACTTTTTTCATTATATATATTTTTTAAATTCAAAATATGAAGATTAAAGCATTACAGAAATTAGCTCACAATTTGTCTGTGATGATATTTTGTAAACAAGCCTTTCCATTCATTTAAGATCGTAATTGTTTTTGTGCATTTTAGGTATCTTTTACTTTGAAAAAATTCCAATTAGTATGTTATTGACATTTTGTTGCTATGTGGAATAGCCTTCAGTTATCATTTTTGTCCTAGCATTATTATTATTGTTGAACCATTTTTTTTCAGTTTGTCTGTGGTTGTTTGTTTCCTTATCATTGACCTATTCACCGTTGTTTTAGTTACCACATATTATATTCCTGACATATTATAATATTAACAGTGCCCTGATTAAGATGTAGGAAGAATTTGGCCAATCTTGTCATCTGCCGCCATGCGCCCAGCAAGTGGGACCCTAAACATTTCCTCAGAAACGGGTGCTGAACTTGTTTGCACCATGTTGTAATGAAGGCTTGTTACTGGAGTTGCTCTATTAGCCAATGTGAATAATCAGTTGGATTTGATTTAGAAAATCCAAACAAGCAAGAGAGGGCATGGTTAAATGAAAACAATCTTGGATGGATTTTCCCCGTGTTTGTACACCTTGTTCTCGTGTTGGTCTTCTGGGGCACCCAGTAAGATTGATATCTTTGAAGCACATTATTTAACATTAGAACATGAAATACTTTGTTTTCATACACCAATCCTATAACCCCCTCTCCAAACCCCAAAACTCTATCTTGCCACCATGTCCCTATATTGCCATGTAGTACACATTTTATTTCTGTTATTAAGCATATGCACCAGTTAGGTTTGTTTAGTATGTGCGAACTTGCGTGGATCTGTGTGTGCATGTGTCCATTGCCAGAGAAGATTTTGCTTCACTTTTTGAAATTTATTTATGGAATTTCTGAACAATTTTTATGATAATATTTGTTTTATACGTAAAAATTCCCAAGCAAACTCTTTTTAATTAAAAGGAAAATAATGATATGTAAATCCAAGTTATATAAGACCTTAGTTTGAATTCTAAGAAAATAAAATATCTGTCGGTCTTTCTAAGCTCTAGATTCCGATTGTTTTTAGTTTTTTGTATATGAAAATGATTAAAAAAAGCTGACTAAAGAAAATTGTTTTTTCAGGTAGAAGACACCATAGGCAAACTCTTCATAACTAACCATCCAGTAGTAAGTAAAGGCTGCGGGTTGCCACCTTTTAACATAAGTAATTTTACATTAATTGTTTTGATAATGATAATAAGTCATTGTTATAATAATCCCATTTAAAGAAGCTTAACTATAGACAGGCTTGTGTAAGTGTGTCTGGATAAGATGACCTGTCTGACTACCCTACTTACCTGTTACCATCACAGTATTAATGGGGGTTGATTTGGGGTTGAATGATATGCTCGGACACCCTTCCAAAAATCATGACAATATTCATTTCTCTGTCACTTATAAATTCTTTAAACAGTCGGCCTTTTGTACTTTGTACAATATAGCTGACACACTAGACAGGTATGTAATTTGTCTTATTATTTTCTTTTTTTCCTCTTCTGTTTTTGTGAGAATCTTTAAAAAAATATTGATTCTGTGCATAAAGTATGTTTAACTGATTTATCAAGTTTATTGATTACAGTTTGGCTTACTCTGTGCATCAGGCTACACTTCTCATTTGGGCGCCCCCCTTTACGTGTTCTGCTGGCGGGGCAGTGATGAAATTAACCATCCAATCCACTACGGTTGATTATCAGTGTAATACAATAACTTAAAGACAGCTAGAGTTCCCACATTCCTCAGCATTGCTTCTCTGTTATTACTCATACATTTATTTGAAATTAACTTAATAGCATCTCGGTTGAATAAAAGGCTTCCCTAATTATGGAATTCAGTCACGTCCCTAGGTAGAGGCCCTCTCGGACGGCTTTCAACCTCAAACAAAAGGATTAATGAGATGCATCTTGCAGCTGAAGAATAGACCCCCCTGTGGGGAGTGGGGGATAAAGACAGATTGATTGTAATTTGCCTAAGACAGGGACTGTTCAGCCTCACCTGGGGGGATGAGGGGGACCTGCCACTCAAGTCTTAATGAGCGCTGGGGGTTTTAAATGGCGGACACAGGATTAGGTCGCACTCGAATGCATGTGCAGTCACTTATCAGAGAAAGACGGAGCTACTTGTTGACCTGTCTGGGAGTTTCTGCCATTGCTCTTAATGAATGACCCTCAGTTTTGGGGTATAATTATATGGGATTGGGTTTCTCCAAACAACTGATGAATGTGAGGGTGTATAGTATACAGTGTGTAATGCTTGATAGTATTTTTGATTTCTGAGCTCTGGGCTTTCTTTGTTTTGCCTGATTGAATCAGTAATTGAACTGGTGGTACCTATTCTTTTTATGATAATGGTGACATAATACAAAACTGTGGCGTAACAGCAAGGGACTTGTGATTCCTGCCGCTTTCTGTCTTTTGTTTTGTCTGCCGGTGTCAAATGATTTGCCATTCAACCTGTTGCCTCTGACCACCCCTTATAGCATTTCAAAAGGATCGCCTTACTTCATTGGAGAAAAATTAAAGGGCTGTTAACAAAGCTCAGATTAAGCATGTTTCCCAACCTGGAAGTATGTAGCTGTTGTTTAATCAAGTGTGACTGACTGCGATCCACACCTGGTCAGCAGCGGTCAAGCCTCAATGAGGATGGTGAAATAAAACTTGACTTGGGGGGTCAAAGGTGGTAAAGACAGGGATAAGATTTCTCTCTTAACAGCACCCCTGTTAAGTCAATGCCGAAAACCTTCACATCACTCTAGCCCAAGAAGTTATGCAAAAGTGAAACAAAACATTTTCCACTTAGCTGCCCCCTCTCCAAATGTCTGGTCTACACAATTATTTTAAAAGACTTTGTTTGCTCAGGTACATTCACTGGGATAAACAGTCTGAGAAGAATACATTCTCAACAAGTTGTATTTGTTTTACCGCAGTCCACACACTTGAAATTATTTGAAATTATTGATTAGTTTTGGTATGTGTCATGCAAATTAAATCTGGGTACAGCCAGTGGAAATCCTGAGGCAGGGCCATAAGGTTTTAACAGAGGGATCAACTGAATGTGTGCCATGACCCGATGGCCTTTTTGCCTGTGTTTCTTTTAACAATGGGTAGTCTTTTCTGAGCAAGGGAGTGCATAAGTAAATTAATAAAGCCCACATTGCTCAAATAAACTTAACCCCCTTTTTGGTGCCGTGTATTTACAAGTCCCGTAGTTTAATTTAATGTTGCATTTATCAAATCAGCCATGCCATTGTATGAAGGAGGTTAATTGTAAATTTTCATCTTATTCAGTTTCAATGTGTGCAGTCAGTGAACAGCGACTGAAATGAATCTGACGGCACTTATTAACGCAGAGACCAAGCGAAGTGAACGCCATTAAAACATCTTGAAGCTGGGATATTTACAGGTGAGCTTTCATTTGAAAGTTGTCTTTATTTCTTGGCACTTATATTTGGACTTTTGTCATCTTTAATATTGCTTGCTAACTGCATGGTTGTTCTCTTAAAGGGGACAGTTAATATGATTGTCATCCTCATTATTTGTCATAGTTCTTTTTAAGGAAGCTTGTACTAAATGTTCAGTATAGTTAATGGTGTCTTCCTTTTGTAGTGAACTTGCTACTGATGGTGGAAAAGTTCACTTTTAGATAAAGTGAGAATGAAAGGAAGATGTTTAACTACACACTTATCTTAGTGAAGAAAGTGTTTGCCCAAAAAATATATACCTTTTTAAGTATTTGGCATTTGGAACTTGATAAAGTGATGATCCATAAAATCTGTTAATTTTTGAGAAACTACAAAAATTTGGTATTGTATTTTTCAAACCAAAGGCTTTGTACATGTACAGTCCCTTTACTTATTCCATCCATCTCTCTCTCTCTCTCTCTCTCTCTCTCTCTCTCTCTCTCTCTCTCTCGTTTGTTTATCATGTTGCTGTCACAGGGAAGTCATACTCTAAGAGCGCATTCTCAACGAATTAAGCCAGGCTTTACAAAGCCGGTGACCTAAAAATGGCGGACGTACATGAAAGAAAAACCGCCTAATCTTTTTATAGTCTCTCCGCCTCCCCACACGTCGTCCCTNCATTTGAAAGTTGTCTTTATTTCTTGGCACTTATATTTGGACTTTTGTCATCTTTTATATTGCTTGCTAACTGCATGGTTGTTCTCTTAAAGGGGACAGTTAATATGATTGTCATCATCATTATTTGTCATAGTTCTTTCTAAGGAAGCTTGTACTAAATGTTCAGTATAGTTAATGGTATCTTCCTTTTGTAGTGAACTTGCTACTGATGGTGAAAAACTTCCCTTTTAAATAAAGTGAGAATGAAAGAAAGATGTTTAACTACACACTTATCTTAGTGAAGAAAGTGTTTGCCCAAAAAATATATACCTATTTAAAAGTATTTGGCATTTGGAACTTGATAAAGTGATTATCCATAAAATCTGTTAATTTTTGAGAAACTACAAAAATTTGGTATTGTATTTTTCAAACCAAAGGCTATGTACATCTACAGTCCCTTTACTTATTTCATCTCTCTCTCTCTCTCTCTCTCTCTCTCTCTCTCTCTCTCTCTCTCTCTCTCTCTCTCATTTGTTTATCATGTTGCTGTCACAGGGAAGTCATATTCTATGTTGCCATCATGTGTGATGTATGACATGCCACCAGGTCAACCAGGATGAGACTGAGAACACTAGCACTGGCAGAAAACTGCTTCTGCTTCTAGAAAACATTTTGGGCCCAGTTTTACTAAATAACATAGGCCAAAAATTGGTCTAAACTTTTTGACCATAATTATGGAATACTTGGAAGTCACAAGTTAAATCAGTAGCTCTTCACTTATATAAAGTAAGTATCATTCTGAAGGAAAAAAATGCCATAAAACCGACACATTGTCTTATTTGATTTGGTTTCTGCTCGTTTATCTTGGGTCAGGTAGACTAAAATTATGTTCTTAAAGTTTAGACCAATTTTGGATTTAGGTTATTTTGTGAGACGGGTCCTTGGACCACAAGTTATTAATGTACCAAACCCTCGACTCCCTATGAAATGTTCTCTTTTACAGGTCTTCTGTTGCATGTGTTTTCATATTCAATATACCCCCTCTCTTGTTGGTATTGTTCATCAGTCTGTCTGCCTCTCTGTCTGTCTCTGGATCTAAATAATGTATTTTAATAACAGTCAGTGATACATGTACTGGTTTGGTATTAGTTTGTGTGCATTTCCATGCTTACTCATAGTTGGGTTATACTGTTTTAGTGCCAGTCAACATCCATGTAATATGGTTCAATTTTTAATTATGATATGTCTGCCACCTAATTTTATGTATGTTATGAAGGAAATATAGATTCATAATGAAGTACCCATATATCAACTAATGTATGCAGGGAAGTTAGAGTTCTTTGTTTCAAGCCATTGGGTTATTTAGCCACTATAATGGCTTTACAAGTTTAAATGGTAAGGGTTGCATACAGTTGTTTTACTACACAAGATTTTTAAACATCATTTTATTAATTCAGATGATAGCCCCTGCCTTTACTAGCATTTCACCCTTTTTTTTTTATCTAGTTTCATAATGATATGTTTGTACAGCTCTTAACCTTATTTCATTCCTATTGAGATATTTTACTTGTCAGTGTCAACTGTTGTGTTTGGTACAAAAGTGGAAGTTTGTGTACGCTGGCTTTCTTGGATTGTAAAAAATATCTTACATTTATGTCATTATTTGTATCTTCCTGCTTGGCTGTGAAATGTGTTGCATGGCAACGTGCACACAAAGAATGTTTCTGCTGAGTTGGAAAGATTGCTATATCGTGCTTTTTGGAGGTAAACACAAAAAGAGCGCATGAGAGAGAGAGAGGAAGAGAGACACCACAGAGAGAGAGAGAGTGATGTTTTCTGTTTTGAAGGCCTCATTTCTGGAAGGCTGCATCCCATTAAAAACTTGTAGATTTCCAGTATCAGTGGTTTCCAAGAGAAGACCTCTTGACAAGTCATTAGGCTAATAAGGTCTCCAGACACTGCCTTCTAATACCTGATAATGTAAAAACTGTTATTTTGCATGTCACTGAAGATGTTTCACTCAGTGAAAAGGGAAACGTAAGACAAGCAGGTTTCACTGTACAGATCAGAGCCGTTCTCTGGGAACTGCATGCGCTCGTAACTGGGGCGGATTAGCGAGCTAAATAGCACGTTATTTCCACAGAGGAATGCCCAGCTAATGCAACCCCGCAGGCCATGTAATCATTTGACAAGATAATAATTAAGCAGACGTTAAGTTTTGATAGAAACTGGCAGAGGAGGCCTGCCTTCCCTCAAGCCAGTGACCTGTTTTACAATCCAACTTATCAAATCTTGTGCAATTAAAGTGTTTATCTGGCGTGCCCTACCTTAGGATATAGCCGATAATTGTTTGGCAGTAAAATAAGTACAGGGGTATGCGGGGTGGATAATGAGTCAAACACTTTTTTTTCCTGAATTTTCTAAAGTAAGCAGTTTTGAGGCGTTTTGTATCATCACAATGGATTCTTTTCAAGTAATTTAAGAGAAGGATTTTTTTCTCTTTTGAGAGAGAGTTTGATGCAGAGATTTCTAGCTACCGGTGACCATTTTGTAATGTTGTCTTTTTCATTTTTGTTTATCTTAGTTACAGCAAAGTGATGGATCATTCATGTCAGCGGAAGACATCTAATACTGGAATTACTTAATTGTGTGCCAGCATTCGCTGACTTTCTCAGCTAAGTTCAAATGGCGAAGATCAGACAGTAATTCATCTCACTTAGTGTGCTTCCTCCCAACATTTTGCATACCCAAAAGTACACTGCTAAATTAGCCTCTTTGTGAAGTAGACTACCATCGCTGCTGAGATGTTTTAAAACAGTGCGCCATCTAGCAAATATGCATTGTGTTTAGGCCGTAACATAATACTCGCACTTAAGATCTTACCTGTCAACTGAAAAGTAAATAATCACTTTTTAAGATCAGATACAAGCTTATTTTTGGCAGATTTCCCTTCTTTTTTCTAAGACAGTGAAGCAGATGGGAAGACCAACAGCCAAACCTGCCACCTGGTGGCAAAAAACATGTTATATTTGACAATTATGATGGACAGTTTTTATAGATATTTTTGAACAATCTTCAACATCTGTTTTTGTGAAACCCTAGTGATTATGCTGAGAGGAAGAGGGTAAGCACTATAGTCTGCTTTCCAGGATGGCACTTATCAAATAGGATGTTGAGTGACTTAAACTTTTTTTTTTGGAGGGTTTTTGTTTTAAGCCACAGATGACATACTGTTATCACGTCAAATTTTAATTACGTGTTTTTTCAATTAGTTCAGCAGCAGAAAGTGCTTGTCGTGTTGCCACCTTTCTCCCTCTGGATGGTATTAACATTAATAAGCCTCGTGTTTCAGCAGCAGTGCGTGATTCAGAAAATCAACACCTTTCAAAAAGAAAAGCACGCTAGAATGACATGTCATTTCATTATGGTTTTACTAATTAAGCCTTGGAGAGTAGGTAACATGTGATACATTTATGTGCTCTCTTTGATTAGCAGAGAGCTCTCTAACACCTGGTATGCAGACAGCAATCATACGTGCTCGTATTACAAACACTCACATGCATATATATCGTGCTTTTCTTGTTTAGTGTTTATTAAGGCACAAAAACGATAATCACAGCGCAACAAAACTTGTTACTCGGGGTCCTTTTTTTGAATGAGGTTGGGAAAAAATGCACAAAATTATCAGTGGTTATTGTATGACAGTGACACTTAGTCGAGGTTGCACTGGTTGTCGTCTTGTGCACGACTCCGTGGATGGCATAGACAGAAGAACTTGTCACTTGTCAACCTTAACTCGACATCTGATTCTACATAATTTTGCTTGTATGTTATTAACAGCATAGATCATATTTTAACATTCTTACAATTATATTCCACTTTTTTTGCTGTCTTTTGGCACCACATTTCTTCAGTGGCACAAAAGTGTGAAGAATTTCTTTTAAGTGTGGGTGTCGTGTAACAGATGCAGGGGTGACGGCTTTGTTCTTCAGCGTGGTGTTTGTCTTTAATTCACCTGTGGGGATTTTATTTCTTAACTCCAAGCTGTAAATTGGCTTGGTTTGTAAAGGCGTATTGTCTCTCTGAGTGTATGTTACTGATCCAGGGATGGCCTTGGATGCCCTTCTTTTTCTCCAGTATCCAGATATATAGGTGTGACCAAGTAGGCTTGCACACATCTTTTTTTTTTTTACTTCCCGTGTTGAAACCATGTGCTGCATGTATTAGTGGAATTAACCCTAATTGTAAGGCAAAACCTCCCCTGCTTATCGGAAGATCTTAGCTTTACATTAAATTACACAGTAAAAAATGAGCACGCAAAAATGATATGAATATCAGTCTGCAG